GCTCGGAGCCAAAACATAAGCTTTGAACCCAAGCCCAGACTGTGACCCCAAACTGAGACTGTGACCCCCAGCCCAGACTGTGACCCCAAACTGAGACTGTGACCCCAGCCCAGACTGTGACCCCAAACTGAGACTGCGACCCCAGCCCAGGCTGTGACCCCAAACTGAGAATGTGACCCCAGCCAAGGCTGTGACCCCAAACCGAGACTGTGACCCCCCCAGCCTGTAACCCCAAAACAAGACTGACCCCCAAACGGTGACTATGACCCCCAGCCTAGACTGTGACCCCAAACTGAGACTGTGACCCCAAACCCAGACTTTGACCCCTAGCCCAGACTGTGGCCCAAGACTATGACCCCCAGCCTAGACTAACATCCCAGACTATGACCCCAAAGCGAGTCTGTGACCCGCAGCCCAGACTGTGACCCAGAGAGGTCGCAGTGTGTATCACAGATAGTCAGTGTGGCGCATTCTCTGTATTCTGCACATTGGACACTAGGTGGCGCTGCAGCACAGAGGAGGAATGCGGCAACACGTGATGGCACTGGCGGCGGATTTTAGGGGGAATTTGGGGAGTTTTCAGCGCAGAGACATCGGAAGACCTCTGAGGGGCCCCCGGCCTGGCCCCGCACTGATTGCATGTAGGGGTGCGGGCGCTGATTGGACAGGTAAACCTATTGCAGCCTTCTATGTATTTATCGCATCTGCCGAGGGAGCTCCTCCATCATGGGGCCGTGCGGCTCCTGTACAGACACGTCACTGAAGAATGCGATTATTATTCTGAGGTGAGGGGGCAGAATAAGGAGCAGTACCTGGGGGAGGGGCGGGACTGGGGCCCACAGTGGCAGCAATTTAGGGCCAGATGAGCCTGTCAATGTCTACCCTACATCCTCCATGCGTCATGTCTGACCCCTGACCTACATACACATTCCTCCTGATGTCGGCCATGACAGACCGAGGTACAGTATAGATGAATGGGGGGGGGTACTGAAGGGTTGGGGCCTCTGTCAGGTTTGTACGCCCAGCTGTGTCCCCGTGAGGGAGATTCCTCTCACTTCCTGTCCCAGTGACACCCTCCCAGGAACACTAAACCCAAATAAAAGTTCTGTCCGGAGATGGTGGGGTCCCCGCAGATTCCCGGGTCACGCGCTGCGTGTTGTCTGCAGACGGGAAACATGCCAAGAAATCCTCCATACCGTGAACTCCACCATCCGAAATGTTTCACATACCTGACATATCTCCGGGGGGAGGGGATTACATACGTGTGCGTGACTCTGTCCAGGCTCATCCAAGGATGGGAATATTCCGCCTTAAAAGGAACAAACTCAGCGCACGGGAATGGTCATGTGACTGCCCGTGCTGATGGGGCCCCAGGATACATAGAGCGCAGGCCCCTCCCACTGCGCAGGGTAGATCATAGCAGGTCTGAGCAATGACAGGCTTGGGGGAGGGGTCAATCCGGCGCCTTTCAGAAAGTCGTCATTTGCATAGGAAATCTCTGTCATGACGGAGCCCCATATCTGCCTGCGGGGCGCTTCCGGCCCGACTCCGCCCCCTCAACGCTTCTCATCGATTGATTGGCGAAGATCAATAATCACCCTACAGACTCAGCGATCCAATCACAGGTCCGGCATCATTAAACCCACTCCCTGAGAGCGTGTTGTGTCCTGGACCCCCGGGGGCCCTTCCTACCTCCTGGGGTCACAGAAGAATGCAGCAAACGGCGTCTCAGGATTCAGGACCCGCCCACTGCTGGAGAAGGGGAGGGGCTTAGGAGGAATTGGGCCTAAGGGCCACACCATTTTCCGGACCAGATCTGGCGTCGCGTTTTGCCGCGTCGGAATTTTTTTCCATTAATTTTCCTTTTTTGAGCTTAAAATGGTCTCACAGGTGCGTTCCCGTGCGTTTGTATGCGTTCCCGTGCGTTTGTATGCGTTCCCGTGCGTTTGTATGCGTTCCAGACCAGACACAATAAGACAAGCAGTATTTTTTTGGACCAGACCGCAGGCGTTGATGTGCCTTGCTGTTCTGTGCGGTCGGAGGGCGTGGCTACAGTGGATTGGCAGTTGACTGTCAGGTGACGGCTGAGGAAGGAAGGGGTACATTGTAAACCCCAC